CGCCAACAAGAGCTACAATAAGTCCAACAATTTTGTTGAGGCTGATGCTCACGTCAAATACATCCTGCCTGTCAGATCAGGTATCAGGGCATTGTGCTTCTGTGTAGCAGATATAGACGCTTACCCTTCAAACTCGGAGGACCGGCTCGCGACATTCGGCACCTACGAACACGTCGACATTAAATTTCGCTGACCGCCTTGCTTTGAGATAGACAGGGCGAGGCGGATGGTGAAAGAGCAGGTGGCGGCCCAAGGTCGATAGATGGTCTTGTCCGTGAGACAGATTACTGGAGCCTACGGCTGTACTATCTTCTCCGAACCTCATTATTGACACGTCCGTACTGTAGATGATTTTAGAGAGTGGCAGGTTACACCAATATATATATATATATATATATATATATATTTACTTTGACTATATACTCCAGGAATCGAGATGTCCCGGGCACGGATGGACACGGACTTGTCGGATCATGCGTTACAGCGAGTTTCATAAATATGCGGAATCGCTTCAATTTTGCTCTTGAGGTCTGACTAAGTAGAACAGGCTTCGGCGATGGTCAAAGCGTGAAATGGCTTCACGTGTTGACATAGTGTTGCCCGATTAGGGCGAGGAATTGCCTGAAGGGGCAGGGAGACGTATCATACGTCCCGCGGTTGTCTCGGACTACAAGTCTTCAGGCGGTCTTGGGCGTTTCCCTGTCATCGGGAGGGATTAATGACATCAGTGGATAAAGATCGTATAGACATTGAAGGCATTCAGGAGACCGGCCTCGTGCAAGGTGCGCAAAAGAAAAGTTGCGGCGATTCCGCATATTTATGAAACTCGCTGTAAGCTATCAGACCCTCGGACCTTTGTGTCCTACCTCGTCTTGCTTCTCTTGTATCCTTCATTGCCTTCTGCCTAAATGACCCTGTGTCATTTCCTCGAGAACTAGGAACAGGACTCGGAACTGCAGCTCCCGCACAGGAACATATGCTCGCATTTTGTGACTCAAACATTCACGAAGTGGCGCCCTCGACCACGTTGAAATCGTAGCAAATATGTATAACTTTGCACTACAATTTTGTGTAACATCCAGAGGTCGACTGTTCTTCCAATGTAACTCCTGCTCTTAATCGTGATTGGGATGCTCTCTGATCATCGCAGTAAATATGCTACAAGTATCCATAACAATTCACGCGCTCCAGGCTCATCGCTCTGTGATGTCTTGAAGCTTCCAATCCTCGTTGCGACTCCACTCACCGGCACCTAGCTTCTCCAGTACCCTCTCCTTCAGCACTTCCAGTATAGCAGGTAAGACTATCGTATCCATGACTCCCTTCAAATCCTTGTCCAAACTGTCTTCGCCCCTCATCCGCCGCACTTGTCTGTCCAGTAGATCCATCCGTTCGATTACGACACCCTCATACACATCTTCATCAGTCAATGCCGAATCGCGATCAATGCGACAAGGAAATGGGTCATTGAAGCCTATTCTGTTGTACTTGAACAATCGCCAGCGATCAGCCGCAGCCCCGATTGAATGGATGAAATCCAGGGAGGGGTCGGAATTAAAGGCGTATTTGGCCTGATAAGGCATCTGTCGCGTGAGCGTCTCTTCTATCGTCTTCAATGCCCTCTTGTCGGCTTCATCATCAGATAGTCTGTAGAAATCCTTCAGTCGCTTGTTTTCGACTGTGAGAGCGGTTAATCGGGTGCATTGTATTTCCGTCCCATTTGAATCCACCACCCAGCACCAGATGATGATCACGGAGTCGGGCTGCTTTGTCTTCTCCCGTTTCTCGTCTGTTGCGCGCCCTTTGGTGAGGTTCTTGTCATTGCTTCTGTATGGGTCCTCGGAGGCACGTCGCAGAGCGCAGAGCGGGTATTGCGGACGAAGATCATAATGAACATGCAAGGTGACCTCCGTTACAGTCCCAGTTGGTTTCGCAAGCAGAGCGGTAGCCTTTGGATGCATCCTTTGTACCTGCCCCACCCCCGCAATAGGGGCGGATGGCTCCCATCTGAGTGTGAACTTGGTACTGGCGTTGGTCCCTAAGAAGCACAGGACTTCGTTCCATGGCTCATACCACGGGGACTCGCTCTGTAGTGTATTGTATCTCTTCTTCCTCGCTGCATCTAGAGCGATGTCGATTGCTTCTAGGCAGTGTTTTTCAGACATAACTCTAGAGCGCCTTGAGTGGGAAGTTTGCTCATGCTGAGGACTTGAGACTCGAGAGCGACATACCTCACTCCTATAAGTTGCAGCTGATGATGAATTTTTTCCTGGACTGAGAGCCAGGACGGACGCCGGGCTTTATACAAGTCTCATGCATTTCATCCGAATATGCAGACCACAACTTGTCGCTGTATGAAATGGAGTTTCATGAAGAAACACGAGTGAGCTATCCGTGATACGCAGATGGAGCAACCTTTCTTGTTCTGTAAAAGTAGTATAATCACTGCCTTATATCACACAGTGGGCAGGCAAGAAAAAGGAGACCATGTGCAAAAACCCGATGGGATCTGTTTCGCCATAAAACAAGCGGTCGCCGAGGTACCTGTGTCGTGTCGATGTCTTGATAGGAATTCATGCAGAAATAGACCTTACAAAGCCATTTGTGCAGGAGAGGTCAGCCGTGAGACCCAAAGATATTCTCGATGAGCCCGTGCGCGTCGCGGGTATGGGCACCAGTGGGTGCGGGTGGCGCCCCGACGTACCCGTGCCCCGCTGTGTCTCGAAAACGCGCCGCCAAACGTACTATCGGACCCGAAACCGGTGACCCAACCCATACCCGTACTCGACCCGTCGACACTGGTTGAGCGCGGGTAAGGGTACGGATATGCCCTGAGACTCCCTATACCAGGCGTGTCATCCACTAAC